GACCAGATAGAGACACACTGCTAGGCATTCCTATTATGGACCCAAAACCACATCGATGAAGACTGGAAGGTTTGACCAAACTGATTTCCATTTGTAATTCATACCTTCTGTTTTCATGCTACTATTGGAATTGCCAGGATATTTGTTAAGAATGCATCAAAATTGGTGACAGAAAGGTCTAATTTCATCCCAAAACATTACTTGCAATACATTGTGAGATCTTTTTCCTTTCTAAAGCTGTACAGATGTCTTTATTTTCTCCAAAACAGTTATAATTTGGGAGCTCTATTTCTGCAAATTGGAAATTTTGTTGACAACCTCCACACTTTTAGTTGATTTACATGTCTGTCTTTGAAGAATTTATCCAGGAATTGAAAGAGGCAGTTTATTGTCCTTTTCAAGACCAATCTGCAGGCTGAAATTGAAACTGAAAAGCACCATCACTACATCAGTTTGCAGCCTCAGAGATGCTCTGCAATGAGGGTCGCCATGATTTTGACCTCATTGCTGCAGAGGTGACTGGCGCTGTCCTCTGTCGGCGTCTTTCATGCTTCATTGCCTGAAAATTGTTGACATAAGCCTTGTTATTTATCAACTCGGAAGAGTAGATTAATACAAAAGAAACTCTGCATAAGATACTAGGATTTTATTTCTACTCTGGATTAAGTTCCCCCCATTTATCATGCTTGTATTGTGGGAACTACAGTGATTATTTCTTAGATGGGAAGAACTGTATACCCAAAAGCTTAATCATATAAGGTTGGATATAAATTAAATGTGTAATTAATTTAATTTTTTAATAAATTTATGTTAAAAAAATAAAAAAAATAACTTTTAATTCGTAAATTATTTAATTAAATAAAAGTATTATTGTTCACTTTCCTCCTCTTCTCTCCACTTTTGTCTATTTAAATCACTTTAATATTAATCATTTTTTCTCCTTTTCTTTCCTTTTCTTCTTTTTCCCTTCTGTTTCTTTACTAATTTTTATCCCAACATATAAAATTTGGTCCAAACATGAGAACTTCTATTTTTTGATATGTAATGATTAAAAATCCTACACTTATCCTTAAGAGCAGAAATATCCAAACCATTCCACCTCATGGGTAATGATGTAATGTCTCTAATAGGAACACGCTGCTAGGCATTCCTAACATGAGAACTTCTATTTTTTGATATGTAATGATTAAAAATCCTACACTTATCCTT